ACGCCAGATTTAAAATAGCTCTGTGCTGTGATATAAGCATGTACCACTTCAGTGATGGAAATGTCATGTGTGTGTGGCCGGGGCCAGTCCATGAACAACGCAGGTTAGGTTCCCACTAAGTAGTACTGATTGTATAAACCCGAGATAAATAATGATGCAAAATATCAAAGTGGTCAAGCATTTCCATACTCGAGCGTGGGGTAATGCTCCTGTCCATTGATAGGCCAGTCAGTGGTGGAAATTATGCATTCCTGTGGTCGGGGCTAATGTCTTATTTTCATCAACCCCAGATGGATGATGGATTGAGTTGACTACTTACTGGGATGCGAACACATGCCCTCCTGATTGTGGTGGGTTGGGCACTCCGGTCACTCGGGTTTGCTCCCACACGAAGCGGTCTAGCAGCAGAGGGTTTTAAGGAAAGCCGCTTAGTTGGTTCGATTAAAGATGTCGAATAAGTGATGATGATGTTGTTGAATTTTCGTAACCAGGCGGTTGGTAGGATCTCTATTGATTTTGGTATAGCTGCCATCATTAAGTAGGTCCTGAATTGTCTTATTGTTTGTGGTTTTGTCCATGATGACAGTGGCATTGCCCTTGTCGGCTGAGAGGATGACGATGTTATCTCTCTTTTTTAGTTGAGAAAGCTCAAGGCGCTCATCCTTGCTGACGTTGCTAATTGGTGTCTTCGCATTTTTTAGGATTGCAGCGATTTCCGATCTTGCCACGTCTGCAGGAATGTGTTCCAAACCCTTAAGGACTACGTCGACCTGGGCAATGATATCATCAACTGGGATGTGTTTAGGGCCAAACTTCTCAATGCAAGAGTATTATTACGTCGGGCATTTACTCTTAGAGAAACAAAATAATACATTGAGATCAGGTCATCAAAGTTGATGTGCAATATGTGTATAAACACTCAGGGCTTGAACTCAGGGACGAGCTGGTTTAGTTTCCTAACATGGATATAAACCTTTTGTTATAAACCCAGCCGCAGGGCTTGAACCCAGGTCCTCATAGGTGCTGGCTTAATGTCCTGGTATGGGAGCATTAACCCCCCGCGATTCTATCCAGCGTCAGGACTTGAACCCATGGCCAACGTCATCAACAAATTGCTTTTTGGCTTGGGCACTAAACCACACCTCCGATTGGCACGGATGGCTGTGTACGGTGCGAAAGAAGTTCAACACATACGTACACACATTAAATCCCATAAGGAATAAAGACTCGGCCGCATTGCAAAATAATGTTTAGTACTTGTGCAGCAAATAATTAATTAATACCCGCTGTTTATTCAGCACGTTGCTCTGGTTGTTCATTTATTAATGTATTTGTTGCTATTTAAATTTTGATTTAAAGCTTTCGTGACTGCAGGGATTCTTATTCTTGGTTCTTTCGGTAAAGTCACGTAGAAGGGAAACAATAAAATAATAAAAATGTAAAACAATATATTTTTTATTATTTTTGATAAAAAAATATAAAACAATATATTTTATTATTTTATTGTTTCCCTTCTACGTGACTTTACCGAAAGAACCAAGAATATGTTGCTATTTAATTATTTCCTTAATCTTTTTCCAGTTGGCAGGACAAACAAGCCAAATGAAATGACGCAAGGGGATAATTAAATCATCTTGCAAAGTCTTACCTGCTGGTTCTCCATTGCTTCTGCACTGATGTACAGGGAGAAATGTTTTTCTTTCAATGAAGTGTAAAATGGGCATCACGAGTCAACGGGTGTATTTTTTTTACATTTTTGCAAGTTGTGCTACCTCATTAAGAGTGCAAGCGAGAGAGCATTGATACTTTGTGAGGCATATTCCCGAGCTGAAACGTTGCTGCATTTGGGCAACGGATCCTGGGCTACGTTATGGGCCGCTGAGTGCAGGGCATCAAAATCCATTGCTGCCCTGCACGTCTCCATGCTGTCCACCTTCACTAACCCACACTGACCCAGAGTGGTGAAATATGGACAAAGAAGCCCCCCCCCCCACCACCCTTTTACCATGACATGCACAGCATGGGGAGACCATCGTCCAGCAGTGGATCGACAATAGGGCCGTACATGTGCATGTTGGTCATGTTTGATTTTAATTATTTTATTTCCATTCTACGTGACTGTACCCAAAGAACCAAGAAGATGAATCCCTGCAGTCACGAAAGCTTTAAATCGAAATTTGATTAACATACTTTTTTTAAATCCTGTCCCTTATCTAATTCATGTTTGTGAATTATGCATGTATAATATCACTAAGACAAATGAGATTCATGTAATGTTTTTGGGTCATTTGATTAAGGAAACTAAAATGGTTTTTTTTGGAAGGACATAACTCGAAAGATTCTGAGGATTATGTTGACACGGAGAAATTATGCAGGGCGAATGTCGGCATCAACTTTGTGAACCGAAGATTAAAACCTGAACAGACGAACAGTAGAAATGTGCAAGTTTTAAATCGGTGCATACTTCCTCATTAAAAACGAAACTTTTCATTTTATTTTACCAAGTAAGGCCCACTGAGCTACTGTATGTAGCTCTTTTTACAGAAGCGACCTGGCTACAAATGATAGCTCAACGAAGTGGCTCATCACGTGGACATTTACAGCAGTCAAATACTCTAAGGGGCCGTCCATATATGACATCACGCACCTAGGGGGGGGGGTCAGACATTTGTGACGATGTGTGACGAGGGAGGGGGGGGTTGAGAAATGTGACGTCACATCAAAATGCGCAACTTCAAATAAATATAGAATTGTTATAACAACACTAATTCTTCTTTGGTTCTTTCGGTAAAGTCACGTAGAATGAGAATAAAATTATAAATTAATAAAATAAAATAACACAATAAAATTCTCACGACGTTTCGGCCACAACACAACACAAGTGGCCGAAACGTCGTGAGAATGTTATTGTTTTATTTTATTAATTTATTATTTTATTCTCATTCTACGTGACTTTACCGAAAGAACCAAAGAAGATTAATCTTTGCAGTCACAAAAGCTTAAAATCTAAACAACACTAATTGTTATAATAATACTCCAACAACATGTGCAGCGCCACATTGAACACGCACTACAATGACAACAGTTTAAAGCGATTTGAAGCATGTTTTTATTTTCAAAATGGAAATATGGTTTTGGAGGAGGGGGGCAGAGCTTTGTGACGTCATATTTGAGGGGGGGGGGGTCTGACTTTTTGTGACGCCGTGTGACGAGGGGGTGGGGGGGGGGGGTCAAAAATCGTCCAAAATCGCGTGACGTCATTTATGGACGGCCCCTAAATGCACCACTGAGAGAACATGCAATGTCCAAATATACAGTAGGTGTCAGGGTCGGGATCGAACCCACGACCTCCTGCAGACCACGCGTGGTCGTTAACAGCACGCATGGATCAGAAACAGGGACGCTGACGAAGAAGCTGGGAGTGAGCAAAGGTGCCTCGAAAGATGAATGCTTCAAATTACACAGAGAGACATAAATAGGTGAACAGTTGCACCAGGGGGATACATGACAATTAGAGACAGCCTGTGGACTGCCAGGGAAATTAAGCGGATGTGGAGAGCATACGTCGCGAGAAGGGATGATGGCCAATGGACGAGACTGGCGATGGAATGACAGCCAAATGATGGCATGCACCTGAGAAGGTTAGGATGGCCAATGAAGCGATGAGATCATCCTGCGGGACAGAGACGCACGTGGCTTGACTTTCATCCAACAGTGGAGAGACAATGTCTGATGACGGTGATGATTTGCTTGTCACAGTACTGTGAGATTAACACATTCCTGCGGAGGGGGCTGGTAGGAACGTTGGGTTGCTCGGTCAATGGCCAGGCTCAACGGCGGCACCACGTGGTGTATTCCGCAAATATGCCCGACTGTGAGGGCGGGCACAAGCCGGCGTGAGTAGGTTACACGTTGAGTTTTATAAGGGCACCACGGGGTGACCAGCCCCTCCCCACTTAGCCTCTCCTCACCCTCCCCACCCAGCCCCTCCCCACCCTCCCCACCCAGCCCCTCCCCACCCTCCCCACCCAGCCCCTCCCCACCCTCCCCACCCAGCCCCTCCCTTCCCACCCTCCCCTCTCCACCCAGCCCCACCCCTCCCATTTTTGGATGCACGACGGACGGACACAATAATCCCCTGTGGGCTGGTGTAACCAGGAGGTTCCTACCAGTATGATTCGTAAGAGTCATTCAATGCTCCAAAGGCAAAGAGAAAGACATATGGGTTTCTTAGGTTTAAGTCGAGGTATCCACTGGAACTTAATGTCATCGAAGGGCATTTCGTGTTATGATCTATTTGACCACTTTCCATTTGGCAACAGCAGCTCGTACTATATGTACAGTAAAATTATGCATTGAGGAAAACGAGTGCAGTGGCTTGCACTCTCTGCTCTATTATAACCCAGTGACTACGTAAGCGTGATTTCGAGGCATTGCAAACATGTGTAGAAAGTGAAGTCATACCTTGTTCTGGATGCTCCCTTGGGTCAACTTTGCCTTGAATAAGTAGCTGGAGAAGGGGGAGAACACCAGGAAGGCACTCGGTGCTCCCCACACTTTGCCGATCGTGTTAAGAGCACGTGTCCCCCCCCCCCCCCCCAACAGTCTCTTAGATGTGATACTCTGGTGTGGTCTTGCTCTCCTTGCATTGCGTGCAAGTGTGTGTGCACGTCTGTGCCGAGGGAGGGTTGCGCACTGGCGCATCGCACTGCACCTATGTGCCCAGCGATCTGAATTCTGATTGTTTCTCTCGACATTGCACATTCAAGTGGCAAGAACCTGGGCTTAGCCTAGGTCAACTCAGCCTTAAAAGATTGAGTGTTACAAACTTCAGCTCTGGGGAGAGGACGGGTGTGCCAATCAGTCGCCTCAATGTGAGCTCGCTAGCCGGATCTCGCTTCTGTGATCTTTCGGCTAAACGCCGGGATCTTTGTCTTCGTGTCCGCGGGTGTGAGCAGGCACTTAATGGCCCCGTGTCTCTTGAACGTGTTTCATTTCAGCCGGAAGAGCTGACCAACATCTTAGAGATCAGCAACATCGTGTTCACGAGCATGTTTGCGCTCGAGATGCTTCTGAAGATCTTCGCGTGCGGCCTCTTTGGCTACATCCGCAACCAGTACAACATCTTCGACGGCGTCATCGTCATCATCAGGTCGGTCTCCTACTTAAATTATAATAAAAACTTCGGTTTAACGCTTTGGTTTTGTGATCCAAGCGCCGTTCGCCGGTTTGGGCCGCGGGTTGAGATTTTGTCCTCTCGAGCGTTAGGCACGCACTAGTTGCTGGCAAGCCATCTTCGGGAGACATCTTCAGGAGATGGCCTGCAGTAGTGCGTGGTGAAAGCTTGAGATATTATTAAATGCTCGGCACGTGGCTCAACTTCGGAACGCCGTACTTCGACTAAAGCAGCTGCACCTTGAACCTGACGAGTCACACTCACGGCCAACACCGGTGACAATTATACGAACCGATCTTGGGGCCACACCTAGGTCAACTCGGCCTCAAATTAGTGCCCGGTGCGGTGTGGAAATATCGCCATTGGGGAGACAAAGGCAGCCGGGCGTGATGCTGGTCACCCTCCCCATCATGTGCACAGGTGCTCACTAACAGCACTTGCTGTTGAAGTCTGTTCAGGCTATATGGGGGATCATTGTGTAAAGGAGAGCCAACACACGGTTGCAGGGGGTTCGTCTTTTATTACTGCCCCCAGTCCACAGTCGTTCACAGCCTTCTCGATCCAATTCTCCCCTTTTCCCCGCCCGTTCTCTCTCTTATATCTCCTCGCCTGCTCCTCCCGCTTCCACTGTCACCGTCCCACTCCCCCTCCTTTTGTTGGGAGTCCTTCCCCTGACATCTCTTGCAGTTGTATATGTTTACGCCTGTGTATGTGTGGCGTGCCGGCCTTCATAAATGTCATTTGCTAACAGCACTTTCCCCAACAGTCTGCTGTAGGCTATGCGGGGGGGACCTTTGCCATTGTATATTACTTCATACACCGCTACGTGCGTGCCCGCCGTCCTCCGTACGGCGCTCGCCAACAGCACCGCTCGCTCCGACAGTCCTGTCAACGTCTTGACTGCGGGGGCAGAGTTGGTGGTTCTGGGGGGGGGGGGGGGGGGTGGGGGTGGGTGGTAGGCAACCTTTGTCTTTTGCGTGCCAGCGTGTGGGAGATCGTGGGGCAGTCGGGCGGAGGGCTCTCGGTGCTGCGAACGTTCCGCCTGCTGCGCGTGCTCAAGCTGGTGCGCTTCATGCCCGCGCTGCGCCGCCAGCTCCTGGTGCTCATGAGAACCATGGACAACGTGGCCACCTTCTGCATGTTGCTCATGCTCTTCATCTTTATCTTCAGGTGAGCGACACCGGCCCCGCGAACGGGAAGGCAGCCGGCACTGTTTTTTTTTTTTATACACGCGTGGTAGGACGGCACAGCAAACGGCAGGAACATTTTTTAAAAGAGTGTTCGGACACAACGGAAGGAACCCGGAAAGAGGGGGAAGACCCACCGGAGGAGTGGCTTGACGATGACATCAGAGATTGGCGCCAGAAAGACGTGGCCACGACTTGAGCACACTGGCACCAGACCAGAGGAAGCCTGAAACAAATGACGAAATGTGCAGTGGATGCCTACGGGGCTATCTGCCCATGGATCGTGATGATGATGATGACTAGTGCGCCCCCCCCCCCTCCCACCGCCCCTGCAGCCCGGCTGCCTGCAGCCACTCCGATTCGTAACGGGTCATGGCTCCATTTCAGATGTGCAGTGAAAACCGGCCCATGTTTTGTAATTGCAGGTGACCGGTGGCAGGGCGTTGATCAGAATAGTGAATGCACTGACTGTAACGGTGCGTCCTTTAGCGACATGAGCTTTTGCGGGTTTTGGTGAATGGCCGACCCTGGCTCTAGTACCCGAACCGCTGTGGTTTAGTTGATGGTGGGACCCCTGTTTCACGCGACGCACCCAATGACCGCCTGTGGAGTATAACAAGGATCACTGCCGGTGTACTGCAAAATAACGGCGTTTATTCTGAATTCAACATTTTAATGGTTCATAATAAACGTTTTTGGGTTAGATCGCGTTATTTATAAATATGTCGTAACCCTCCGCCAATCAGTAAAAAAAGTGTCACGTTGACAAAAGACAAATAGTTCTCTACTTTAGCCCACCGGTGTGTTGAAGAGTGAATCCACAACATTTACAATTTTTGTGTACGACGTTTCGCCTGGTAATTACATCCAGCATCATCGGGCAATTTGCCAGGCCTGTTCCCAGTGTCGACTGACGTGCACATTATTTTCAGTGTAAGATGACGCTCATGGCCCACCCGATTCACAGCGTTTCCTTCTGTTGCGATTGCCGTTGACAGCATCCTGGGGATGCATCTCTTTGGATGCAAGTTCAGCCTGAAGACCGACACGGGAGACACAATCCCCGATCGGAAGAACTTCGACTCACTCCTCTGGGCAATCGTCACCGTGTTCCAGGTGGGAGTTTCCTACTTTTTACAAAATGTCACAATTCAATTTGGCATTGTGTCGTCATCCTTTTTTTTTTGTTGTACGGCACTTGAAAAGCAAATCGACAAAGGCGTCATAGCTGTGTGTTGCGTCTGGTAATCCACGCGGTGGCATCGGGAGTTGCTTGATGTCCAGCGGTCCCGTACGTCGTGTGCAAGCACAGTGTAAATGTGCAGTCGTCGGCTACATGACGGAACAGATCGCACTTCAATCACGGGAATATGGCTGTGCCTTGTGTCGCATCTTCGTTTAAGTGGTCCCGTTCGGGCCACCGCAGGCCGTCTAAGTTCTCGCACCACCGATTGCTGGCGTCCCTTGTGGCCATCAGAAGTGTCTCCGTATGACCGGTTACTGAAACTAAAGTTTGTTATTTTAGCAGGTAAAACCCACTGAGCTATATAGCTCTTCTTCAGAAGCGACCTGGCCGCAGGCGATAGCTCAAAGAAGTGGCGTATCACGTGTAAAATGTATAGCAGCCAAATACTCTAAATGCATGTTTACAAATGTGGAGGGATAAACCGGAGAACCCGGAAAAAAAATCCACACGACCACGGCGAGAGCGAGAGAGAGACACGCAAACTCCAAGATATACAACTGGCGTCAGGGTCGCGATGTTTCCATTGTCCTTTGTGACTGAATACGACACTGCTGACGGTCTCTCGTCCTGTGCGGGCATCTGTGGTTGCGAGGGCTGACGTGGCAGTAATATCTCCCACGGTAGCTGCGCTTGTAGTTTGACATTTGAGGAAAGTGTTCTGTTTTGATTTAAAGCTTTCGTGACTGCAGTAATTCATATTCTTAGTTCTTTCGGTAAAGTCGTCTGTGACGACCGTTTGTGTTATGGTCGAAACGTCGTGAGAATTGTTATTGTTTTATATATACTTTATTATTTTATTGTTTCCCTTCAACGCGACTTTACCGAAAGAACTAAGAATATGAAAGTGTTCTGCTTCTTTAGAATGGTTGCTTTCAAAGTTGGCATTGCGAAGTCTCTGAATGCAACTGTTATGCCATGAGCTGTATGAGCAAAGGGGATATATGCATTGAGAGGGTTTAGAAGGGGGCAGGAAACAGATGGTTGTGAAAGATGGATTTTTCCTTTGTATTTTTTAAGGCGGCGGGGCCATAGGCAGTGAAATACAGGATAGTCTGAGGCCTGGATGTGAACAGGAGGAGGTTCGGCCAAATCCATTAATGAGTGTTTGGCACAAGGCAAGTCGGACATGCCGATGTTGCTACTGGCTTTCACAACAAATGAGGTCGAATCAATGTAAAATGTAGCATGGATCTAACATTATAACACGTGTGAGGAGGGGAGGGGGTCCTAACAAACAGCAGATCGTTTGCCAAATTTAGAATAGACTTTTATAAGTGTGACATACAATTTGGAAGCACATCTTCAAGTATGGCTTTCCCTTTGGGCTTAAGCAAGAACTGATTCATTTGTTGGCAGAAAATGCTTCTCTGTCAGTTGTTTATTTTTCTCATGTGGAAATAAATAACAAAATTAGTGGAAAATAGTAAAAAAAAGAATGTGTGTGAAAATTACAAAACATTAATTCAATGACAATTGAATTTGCCTTTTGGCGTCTTCTGGTCCAACACCAGTGGAGACTGGGCTCTAAGAAAAGCCGTCTCGGGTGTGGACCAATCAAATTCAAGGACAGTGCATATTATCAGAGTTGTCTTTTTTTTGTTTGCATTTTGACTACTTGTGTTGTGGTTATTGCAAACATGATCCCTTGTATAAAGGTGTCAGTTTTTGTGCCAGATAAAAGGGTAAAAACCTATTACTATATCTTGTTACTGGCAAATGAGGTCTCATAATTTGTCTTCATATTCACATATGCGTTAGGGATGGCATGTTGATCTAATTTCGCAACGTACGTAGCCAACCATGCTAATTGTAAGTGCGGGGATGTGAGGGAGTGCTGGATCTGTCACAATGCTGTGGGTGTGGGAGACGTATGAACAATACGCACCACCATTGTGACTTCCCACAAAATTATGCTCCTTTTTTATCAATCCTGGCAGGATGATGGCTGGCTTGGCCGTGCTGTGACAATGTATTGATCAGTGCCAATTGTATGTACGTATGTTGAACTTCTTTTGCACCGCCGTGCTAATCGGAGGTGCCAATTATTATCAAGCTCACAATGGATCCACCGATGTCAATTCATGCACGACTCATTAACCGGTTGCCTATGTGCCACATTTGGCCCACGGATACTCTGCGAGTGTTCCAGGAGACTATGGTTCGCCAACAGATATGGCTCTTTGAGACTAGGTACAGTGAGGTGTATGCAAGATTACCAAGAGATAAGAGACGCAGAGACGAGATAATGTGTGCATTCGTAGTCACATGCAGTCGTTTTGACTTCACAACGCCAGTACATGCCAATTATGTCACGTGGCGCAAAAAATACATTTTTTGAAAAACCCTGTTGTAAGCGAAATCACTTCACATCAAATCGAGAGAAAATGCCCCCGCCCAAAATTGCAATGTAAGGCTCAGTCCGTGTGTCTGTCCCAAAGTGTGAAAATGCCGTGGAACCTGGATGGGTCTCGTCAGTCGTAAGTGATGAACCCATTCACTCTCCCTTCTGTCTCCTTGTAACTTGACCGGCAGTCATGATCAGAGGTGCCATGGTTTGCCGCATTTCTTAAAAAAAAGTTTGTTTTTTTTACCCAAATGGCGTCGAGCGTTTAAATCACCGAGCGGAGGCGGTGAGTCCTATCTATATCTCAAATCAGACTTCGACCGCGTTTCAAAATCAGGATATTCCACACAGGAGTTATGCAACTGTGACTACTACAGTGACACCGGTGTGGCCGGTTGCAAGAATTACGCTCACGACATCGGCACAATTTGCAAGAATTCTCCGCATTACCTCCGAGCGTTTTTCACGTTTCCGTCCATGGGCGTCTTGGCGCAGCGTTTAATATTCACCTTTTAATTCGAACGTAATATTACTTCGAAAGGCTACTGGGGTAGAGGTGAATAGGGAAAAGGTTAAGGAAGCAACATTGAGCCTCGCGGAGAAGGAGGAGTGGGGGGAGATATGGGCGGCGTGGGAAGGGAGGGTTGAGATTTAGTAAAGGTCACCCAGCTTTGAAATCACGGTGAGTGCACATTAAAATTAAATACAATTTCTGCTCTCTAAATATGTCTCTGCTTTAAAAAAAAAAACGGTCCTATTATCATCACATTTTTTTTGTTACTGGGAAAATGATGCGCATCATTGATACATCTGAAACAAATAATAATACTCATAATAATATTTTGTATGGCTCTTTGGCCATCTTCTGAACCAGTGCTGGGAATTCCACGTGCTTGCGACCAGTATATTCATAAGACAATAACTTTTACAATTCCCACACAGAACAGTCACCTTTGTGTAACAATAAAAATTTAATTTAAAACAGGTTAATGCAATTCAGCCACTGGCAAATGTTCGGCAATAACAACGGCTGAATAAATGTGTTTTGTTTATTGTTTAGCCTAGTAATGTTCTTCGTATGGCTGAGGAAACAGTTGCAGTTTGATGTTGAGGTTAGTATTCTCTTCAATGGCTTTATGTGAGGCAGAGTGAGTGGTTGCGATGCCACCGGGAATGGATCTCTCAGAGCAAGAGTTCAGTACGTGGGCGATTGTCTGTTTGTATAGTCTAGTTATATAGTAACAAGAGTAATTGCTAAGCATTGGCTGGGCGGGTTTCGTTGAGAATCTAGACTCAGATCCAGGTTTCAGCCGTCTGTAATTAAACCAGGTTTTGAAGTGTAGCGAGTTGATGATCTCATCCCAAAGTCCTTGATTCTAAAATATGCCTAAAATAATAATTTGTGTCATTGTGGTGGGTTTAACGACACATTTATATATATTTCCGCGATATAACCCAAAAAAAAACCCTCTTATGGATGATATTGGTCGCGAAAGCTTGCTACGTGTTAAACTGATACTATGAGTGTTCATAGTATCAGTTATCTCTCTGTCCACATACAAAATAAAGGTATTTGCTACACCACACATCAGCTGCACGGCCTTCTGGGAGAGCATAATTTCAGCAGCATTGATTACACAACTCAAGTAAATCCTGGACCTGTCTTCATCAGCAGTCATGCTTGCTTGATTAATAAAATAGGCATTTTCGCTTCATTGAGGTAAAGTGCACATCTGAGAAAATGTCAAATATTGGTTTGGTTGAATGCAGCGAGCATCTCGCTGTACCAGGCTGCTTTTGGAAAGTGCAGCACCCCATCGGGTATGGATAAGAGAGGTAAATTGAATGGCTCTGCGAAGCATTTCTTTGATATCAGCTTCCTCGGGCTATTCTCTAATACGAAGTGATGGGCTGCTCTGCACAAGTTCTGAATAGACACTTCATGCCATCACATCGATGCCAATAACCACAATTGGAATACAGTTGTCAAAAAAAGACTGCGATCTCCCACGTGTCCCTAAGTGGCAGTGATTTCATCGCAACGGTTGTGCCAGGCTAGGTGCACCTTGAGACCACGTGAATTTGCAAGGGCTTGCTGGCAGGAGGTCATGGGAGAGCCCCATGCGTTACGAGCAAATGAACACAACTTTTCTTCAATCAACTACACAAACAGCCACGTGTACACAGAAAGTTTTAATACATGTTGTGCGAGATTCACAACTTGATGAAATGGCCGAAACACATTGCTATGGCACTTTACCCAGTTGCCAGCGATTGAGGCATTACCACGTTCATTTTCTTGTGAAGATATGTCAATAAATATCCCCTTTATCTTGGTTTCTCAAGCTACTCGTGTATCTTGTTTAACCAGGGGAGGACTCGACGTTGAGAACTCAGAATACCAAGATAAATCGTATTTTCAAGAGTAACCTTGGTCTAGGCACACTGCTTAGGGCAATTCTTGGTCGTGAACACCTATTAAGGCTGGCACTGAAGGTACATCGTGGTGGGTCCAACATCACGTCA